CTGAACTTTCATCGAAATGATTTCGTCGAAAATATTTCATCGAAAAGTGGATTTATCGGACATCTTTCTTAGGGCATTCAGACCCACATGAATATGTCCGTTATTTTTATGCACGCGGGGCACTTTTATTAGGAGAAAGGTGAGTGAAGTGGTATCTTACAAATCATAATTTATTTTGTAAAACTAGTTAAATATAGAAATGTTATGCTAGTAGACAACTTGCATGAATATGTCAAATGTAGCATTAGTTAACTTTCTATTAGGTGAAATATCTCATTTTTGCCTACTTTCACTTAAAATCAGAAAATTCGTCACTTAGTCAAAATCGATCCAAACTACTTCAGAATATCAGTATGTACTCTATTTAATCTACGCTATATCACGAACTTCAATAGAACTTCTGAAAACAACTGAGAATGCTTTGGTTTTAGACAAGGTTTTCCAGAAACGTTTGGAAGTAAGAGAAGGTTTTTTCTGATTATTAGCGCACAATCATATTGAACAGATAAAACAGAGTATATCTTGATATGCTGATATAGTTTGCATCGATTTTGACTGAGTTATGAGTTTTCTAATTTTACGTGAAAATAGAGGCAAAAATGGAATATTTCATCTAATATAGGTTTTCACTAAGTTTGAGAATTTTTTCGAAAGCATACATTGCTGCGAGACTCAGCGTAGTCTATAATTTATGTTCGAACCTAGAAGGTTCAACAACAACAAAAACGAAGACAACACGTCTTAATAACTACATATAGTCTCTACTGACGAAAATATAATTCAGCAGAAGCCACTGTGCTGTATATATTAAGACTTCCAGAAAACCAATCGTTACCAGAACGTTTGAATCCGGTTCTGTGCAAATTCATAGTTCCAACAACTTTTGAGTCCACTTCAGTCCATGGACTCAGTTAAAACAGTCCAGCCGGAGTCCATGATTCTAAAAATCTTCGAGACCAGTTCTTACACTGGATCTTGGGCTCATCCAGTCCATACAGTGCTCTGCCAAGTGCTCGGATACCTACGAATGGTTTTAAAAAATTATGAGTACGAGTACGCGAAAATATGTGCTCGATTGTACACGGGTACAAGTAAATATTGATACGGGCCCATCTATGTTTCTTGGTTGTAGAGCACTAACGAATCAGGACAACATATAGTGTGACAATTGTGTGAAAGAAGAGTAAATCTTTATTAAATAGTTTCTACATTATATATTTTTTCGTCTAAGTAAGTCAATAAGAAAGTGTTTTACTACGAGAACTATCGATCCATCTTGATATATCTATATCTGATATGTCTTTTAAACAGTTGATCATTATGTTTGTTGATTCAATAGCTGTATCACATATAGCATGATTAAATTTTCGTTGTCTTTCACTTTTTAAACACAATTGTATATCTGTAATATTTTCCGACACCTTATTTGCATTCTCTCTCGAACGTCGCATATATTCAAGAAAATGATTATTAGCATCATTCAATTCTGTTAATTCTTCAAATATTCGATTTAAATAACCGAGTGCCTTATAATTTTGTTTAGCCCATAGTTTCTTAACCAAAATAACAATACTACCTATCGCTGTACCACCAATCACTGTTGCTAATAATACAGCTGTCACCGGATTTAAAGCCATTCCACCGATAACTAGCGCACCGGCACCACCAAATGCTTCAGCTGCAACCGCACTTGATGCTGCAAAATAACTTCCTATCAGGCCAGCCGGCAAACCGAGGCTTGAACAGCATTCAGCAATTTCTAGACGTCCTTCTATTGTCACCTTTTTCGATTGAACAGTATTTTTCATATAATCAATTCGCTTTTGAAGTTCCACACTTTCGTCGGCAGAACACTTAGCTACATCAAGTAGTTTACTAACACCGGATAACATTCGTTGTAATGCCATGTCAATATCTGCTTCATCTGTTTTATTTAATTGTGCATTCGATGTAGGATTCAATGCATCTTGAACTATGGACATTTGTACTACGGCTGCTGTTAACGGTGGCAATATCATTTTAACATTATGTTTCGTATTTGACACCAACTGACCAAAGCACTGAATGAGATCTTGAACTTCACCAGCAATAGCACTGTATTCTTTGATTTCTTTTACCATATCATCGATCAATATTTTAACACTACTAACAAGTTCAGGAATTTTCTGCATTCGTTTAGTGAAAGTCATTGACGAAAAATTTGTCGCAACAGATACAAAATCTCGAAATTTTCTTGTTTGTTCGTCATTTTCCATTCCGATATTTTTTACAGCAATACGTAATTGTGTGTCAGATATTTGACAGGCATCGAGTTCTGTCCAACCGCTGCGAGACTGAAGTTGTTGTTGAAATTTTTCTAGACTAGCTCTAATAGCATTATTCAGATCAATTTGTTCTTGCTGTTCGACTGTCGTAGTTTGTGGTGATGTAAATTTTTGTATTGCTCCTGCATTCCAGCCTTAAAGGTGCATACATGTTTGGTATAGGCTCCCTAGGCGCAGTACATTTGAATCGTTATACATATGGTCCACTATACCCTCCGGAAGCGGACTGGCAGGTCTGCACGGTTGAAGTTTGGAAATTTTCACAATTTCCGGGTATTTTTTGAGTCAAATGAAAATCAAGATGAAGAATATTAGGGAAAAGTAAAATTAAGCTCTGTTGTATTTTCTTCACCAGTTCCAACTCTACCTATACTTTGTTCGATAGCGACAATTCCAGCGCCTAGCATTAGAAAATTTAGTGCTTGCTCCGCGCTGAACTAAATTGGATAAAAATTGGGCACCAAATGCAAAATTTGTCGGTGAATCCGACAGCGGGTTCCTTATAATTACATCTTCACTTCTTTTTTGGTGTCGGCATAATCAACGTGGTTTTTGCCTAAATTTTATTTTTCTCATTGGTGCCTTTTTTTCAACCAACGAGAAAAATAAAATTTAGGCAAAAACCACGTTGATTACGTCGACACCAAAAAAGAAGTGAAGATGTAATTATAAGGAACCCGCTGTCGGATTCACCGACAAATTTTGCATTTAGCGCCCAATTTTTATCCAATTTGGTTCAGCGCGGAGCAAGCACCAAATTTTCTAATGGAGAACTATGTCTTCGGCACACTTCTCGTTAGGAACCGATGAGAAGTTGTCATATGGCATTTTTTGCCGGTAGTGATTTGGACAAAATAGCATGCATTAATCCAGTGATTTCTTTATTCTAGGACTCTCGTACCTCTTTTTTTCCAAGTGCTTTCGCAAAACGAGTATCTCTTTACACACATCCTGCTAACGTATCATGCTGACACCTTGTTTTAAGAGCCATCCAAGAGAAATGGACACCTCAGTTTTGAAACTTACGTTCACCTTCGTAATTGAGATCATCCAACGAAGTATCAAACTGTTCTCGATCAATTGTTTGCAAAAATTGTGTATCATCATCTTTTCTATTAGTTGTAAGTGATCTTAATTGCGGCGGGCTGTTTGAATTTCTGATTACGCTAGTTATTCTATCCGCATCTAAACTGGTATCTGCAAACCTTAAAACACAAAAATGTAAATGTTTGATTGCGCATAGAACGAACAAAGATAAAATGCACACATGTCTTACCTATTAGTCATATTCTTTATGTTGGCATTTTGTATCTTCACATCATTGGTGGAAAGAAAGCTTGTAGTTTCTGGTACAGCTACGTTTGAAAAAGATGAAGAAAAGTTTGTAACAGTGATAAACAAGATAAATGAATGGAACAGCTTAACAGATAAATAAAATTCAGTGAAACTACTATAGTTTTCATTTACTGATTGAAAAAACACTCTTTATACTGTAACGCCTGTTTATAGAGTTCAGAATATCCTTCGTGAAATCGACATACTTTTCTGTCAAATTCATACTGATTTGTCACAACTAAATGCTGATCTCTATATTTAGTTTCACTGACCGTTATGCTTTAGGAGAATTAGATACGTGAACATTATTTACTCCATTGTACGCGATACAATAAACATAGAAAAATCTTACTTAAAGATTAGGACGACGTACTACATGATAAACCATTGACTGTACCCTTCTTGATACTATCTGTACCGTTTGAGAAAGATGATTACACTCTGATTGTTCGATCTTTAGTTGAATTTAGTTAAAAAGGCTACTAAACAATTCCAGTGACACCATTACTAGTATCAAACATTTATTTGTTAAAATCTTCTCCTTGTCCGCATTCCTCTCTTTTTCTTTCTCTTCCGTTTATTGACATGTTGCTCTTCTTCCCTGCTGTTCCCTAGTATATTTCACAAGACCGCATTCTAATCTATACTTGATATAATGGCTTATACTGCTTCGATGTACATTGGATACAATTAATCTGACTCTTTGAATATTTATCTCTCGGAATAAAGTTTAAACTATACTAACAAACTAATACATTGAATTAGTCACTCTAAGAAATGATATTTCAACCATTCTCGAGCGTTATTAACAATGCTACATTTAGAGAGTAAACAAATATGTCCCAGTTATCAAGTATTACCTTCATTTTTTCTCAGATATACGGGTCTTTCACTGGTCGAGTTAACTGGAACATTAGCAAATGATGCTAGTTGTTCGTCATTGTAATACACACAATAGTGTCTTGCATTTTTTCCAAGTAAATTTTCTTTTAAATCAGCAATATCCGCTGATGAATTGAATGTAATTTTTTCGAGTTCACAACTATCGATTTTAACCCAAATACGTACTATTGTTGAAGACATTTTTATTAACTGCTATAAGCTGAGTTTTTTTATATATTTTTCATTACCTATTACATTAGAAGTTTAAGAAAAATTCTTCTTACGGAAATAACCCTCCACACACTCATTTATTCACATTTTGTAGGGAAAAACCAATGAATTCCTCTTGAACAATCGCATGCCTTTACTTCCGACTTTTTTTTCATATGACTTATGCAAACAGTAAATATATATGTGTGCACAAGAAAGAATAAAAATTATTAACTTAATAGAAAAATTAAAAAGAAGAAACACCTTTTAGAGCATACTAAAGAAAAGAATTTATTTGGACGTTTCGTTATCATTCAAACAACTTTAGCCAAGTATTAAAAGTTAAACAGCGCAGAGGCAACACAAAACAAAATAAAAATAAAAACATGTGCACACAGATTGTTACAGAAACTCAGCTTTTTTGCAATTTTCGTGTTTTTTTTGCACATTATCAAAATCAAATCATCGTCCTGTTAGGAAGTGTAGAAAATCTCATTCTCTGACGTAATGTTCTCGTTCTCTGATGTAAATATCTTTGTTAATAAAATATGAAAACATAATTCATTATTGGCACTGACACAAAGAAGGATACAAGTTACGTATAAAACGCTACGTAACAGTCCTCTACTTATAAAGTTTTAAAAGTGCTTCATTCGAAAGTTATAGGTTTCCCTTGACGTACTCCACTGAAAACTCTGCTGTTCTCTTTCTTGATTGCATTTTATACTATGATTGAAACGATCAGATTTTGTTTGCTGCTAATATGAGTTGCTATTAACTGTGTGGAGTACACAATTGCAGCAACTAGTTTTCTCGAATACATGAGACATAAATCTTATCGGCCCTGATTATTGCTGTCTTCACTTTCGCGAGAAATCACGAAATTTCGACGGTTTTTAATAGTGCCTAATCGTTTGCTACAATCTAAGTACGTGTGGGTGAGTGAGAACCGATGATTTCTCAGCCAGGAAACACAGTGGGCATTTTTGGCTAGAGCAGGCGGACATTAGCTTTTTATTGAATATTTTCCCATAGGTTTTCGACTATGCTGAGTCTAATGGTACCGTCAAAATCACACTAGGTTTTTGCGCTATGAAATGGATTTTCCGAAAATCATGTTTTCCATTAATTTTTCTTCGTGGTGGGGGAAAAATATGAACAAAGCTTATCTCGTGTGCGGATTCCGAATATGACTATGAAAATATCATGCATTGATCAGTCTGAAAGTTGCCAAAGAAAGCTGTGTAAATCGCACTCGGACGCTACAAAAGTTTTTGGTCTTTGAAAAATTCGTGGGGATGTTAGCCGCGGCTAATATCCCCACGAATAACAAACCCACGGCTAGCCGTGGGTTTTCATCCATCGTTTCACCTTCTCATCGCGTTGAGGTCTCTCCACATCGAGAAGGCACTAGTTTTATTAACAAACAAAATCTTCTGTTGGTTAACAAACAACAAAAAATCCGAAAATAAGCAACAGAAAAGCTCAAAGTGCTAACCGACTAAACGAAACGAAAAAAATAGAAAGATTTTTTATAGTTTACAGTGAAAGAAAAGATATAAGTTTCAAAACCTTAATCTTCCAAAAATAACATGTTTAGTAAAGTGTCGTCTTCTTTAATGACAGGTAAAAACACCAACCGTCTCGTCTTTTTTCCGCTTTTGTATCGAATTCACTGTTTCATATCGAATGACTGGATCCGATCGAAGAAATAGTCGGGTGAAAATGTCGGAAAGATTCGAGCGATTGTCACATTTTCGGGCAAGATGCTCACCAGAATTTCGAACATCTTTATTCATCGACTGCAAACTCTCCTCGGATAGTTCTCCCAAACCTATACCATTGTTTCGTTCGCTTAATTCACAACCATGAAAAATCAAGTTGTGGACAGTTAAGTTGTATTCGACGAAAGGAAATTCCGTTGTCAGAAACAGTGTGAAAGCCGTTGTAGCTTTCCGAAGATTTGTTAAATAAATTGTCTGTGTAGACGACACTGCTCTGACGTGAGTATAACTGAATAAAGTTTCATCAGCGTTCGAAAGTTCTCCTGATGTGAATTTGGAACTAATTCAATAACTTTTTCTCTTAGCTCGGAACTGAAAAAGCGACGTCCTTGTGGTGATCAACGATTTCAGAAATCTCTTTACGCATTTCGTCCATTTTCTGATACCTGATATTTTATTCTATTCATTCGAGTGCAAGTTAACTTTCCAGGAGGAGGGGCCTGTGCCCTCTAGGCCCCTCCCTTGGCTACGCCACTGTCTATTTTTATTTAAAAGAGGAGAAGAAACTACATGGTCTGACCGGCGCCGATTTTTGAATTAGGTCTTAGTTTTTTATCAAATTAAGGATTTTTAGAAAATCCGAAAGGCTTTTTGGGGTTTTGAAGGTTGTTGGTTGCTTGGAAAACCAATAAAGGCTTAATTGAAAAATCGGCGCCGGTCAGTCGATGTAGTTAGGTGTCTAGTTTAAAACAAAGCAAACCCGAACTCTCTAGTTTGAAGTATATTAAAAATTTTGGGAAACACTTCAGGGTCCTTTTTGGACCTTGATCTCTAGAAAACTCCTAAACGGTACGACTTGAAGTCAAAAAAAATTTTCATTCCTGTAACTCATTAAGCCAAACATTTATGCGAAGTTTCGTCAAGATCGGATGTATGGTGTCGGAGATTATTTCTGAGGGGGGGGGATAGAGATACCATGGCCTCACAAGAATGCTGATATGTGTTAGTCGTCAACAATCGGTCGGTTCATTTTGACCACCTCCAAAGTCATTCTGACTCTCGATGAAAATGCAATGGGACTCGAACAATGAGAAATCTCTCTCCAGAGTGATCAAAGTTGGTCGCTCGGAAGAAGTTCCTATACCGCCTTATACTTATTGACTAAGGATATTTTTGTATTTTTCACCGACATCAAAATGTGAAAAATGAATTATCATTGAGTTGTTTGACAAGCATTTCGATCTACAGTGAATATATAATAAATAAATTAACTTGACTTATTTCAATTTGACATGAAAAAAGTTCTTAACTTAACGGCATTGTTATTCCATTTGTTATCTGAAGTAACGAACATGTGAGTGAGGATTTGATATGAAGTCAAAACTGGTCTCGCTGTGCTCATTTTTAAAAACAGAATCCCTAGATATGATTACTTGCCTTCGAAAATCTATGTCCTTGTCTTTGTGGTCAATTTTTTTACGGACTTTACCTCGTAAAAACACAAAGTAAATATCTTCTGTGCACATCAAATTTGATTTTTCAGCTGTTGGAATGAGTTCTTGGATTGATTATGAATTTACGATGGTAGAGAATTAAATTTATAATAGGGATCGTCAAAATCGTCACTTGTCAATGATCGTCAAATGTTTGATTGAACTTTGCTGTTCGCTAGATGCAGATGGAGAGCTACGGGAGATACCTGAAAGAAGAAGCGACGATCATGTCACAATATCGCTGATAACTAGGAAAAGAAGTGGTAAATTACGGATCCTCATATCTTGCCAGATTCCTCGGAAGGCACGGTTATTCAAAGTGAACAACACCACACAATGAATGTGTTCGAATGAAAACTGGATATAGTTATGGGTTACTAGCTACTTTTGAACAATGGTAGCTGGTCACTAGCACTCCTACATACAGGGACATTTATTGTGCTTGTTTTTCAAACGAAATACTTTGTCCGAAAATAGCTTTACTTTATAAATAGGATTTGTTAGTAAAATTTCAGCAGGCCAAGAGACTATGCCCTGTAGGGCGAGAAAATTTTTCGTGCTGCTCTGCTAGGTAAGGCAGGACAGTGAAACCCTGCCTTGTGACGGTCTCTGTTCTGTTTCATACCGACAAACGATTCTGTCCACAGATAGCAAGAAAAATTCATTCAGATTCGATGTCTGTCAAACTAAGCGTGAAATTCAAACCGAAACAGAAAATGCACTTTTGTGTTGCGTGCATTGATTATATTGATATTGACGGTCTTAATTTCTCTCTCATTTCTATTTTTTGCCTTCTTTGATATTGCGGCATTTTTATGTAAGTTCCACATTTTAGTCCCATCGGGTTTGCACTGACATTGCATATAATATTGAAGTGTTTAGTAAATCAAACATTTTGTAATAAAGATTTTTTTGGTGTTTAAGAGTACATTTTTATCACGTAAGATAAATGTGAGCATTTTTGTCTCACTGTCGTACTTTTTAGTTGTTTACAAAAAAATTACTGAATACAAGATTGTGAGAGAAAAACGATTGAATTAGAAAATAATAGAAATGCAATAAATATAATCTGGAACAATATCGAATTATTTATATTGATTAGAATTCCATGCATTAAAAATATTATGTTCTTTGGATCATTCGATGCCTATGGTTGATCCACTACTTCAAATTAAATACTGCTGCCATCAACACTGTGGTCCATTTCACGTGAACGAAAGCCAATTCATTAGCCTTGTTAATCAATATTGTATGAATAAAACGAATTCTATCATGTATCAAAAGGAATATCTTCAGATCGAGCTAGGTAAAGAGCGTATTAGAATCATGATGTTTCCAATGAGAGAACATCAAGATCATGACTCTCAGGTAACGGCAACAAATCGATATGTTTATAAATTGATAGATCATCAGAATATAGTCAAGCATAAACAGTGTCACCTTAACTATTTTTATGCCAACTTACCGACAAGACGAAATGGACATTTTCACAAATTCTATTCCATTTTGAGTCATTTTCAATTGAAACCCTTCGATGCTGTGTTTGGAATCTCGGTTTTTTTCCATATAACGATAGGCAGCGGATCCAAAAAGCGATTTTGTTAAATATTCTCAATCAAGAATAGTCTGTGAATGGAACGTATTTTAACAAAGTTGTTCTGACAAAATATGGCATTCTTATCGGCTATTTGTATAGACTATACGGCGAATCAACATGCGTTTCCTATTCGAAAGCAAGGGTTACATTTCACATTGATGACTTAGTATTCAATGCAAACGTGTCCTATTCTCCATTCAGGTCACTGTTATTTTCTGCTCTCCTACTGCTGGTATCGTTGATGTGGCTATATTGGAGTACACTGGCTGATTTTTTGCTTCAGACATTCTGCAAATCGAGTGATCAAAATATTTAGACACAACTGGAAGTACGTAATGATGTTGTTGGTCGTCTTGAAGCGAATGTAAAAGAGCAATCGCAAACCAAAGAAAACGAAATCCTTAGGTATGAATTCTAGTCATTTACTTTGTCTGGCAGGGATTATGCGTCGATGATTGGATATTGGTTTATTCTCAAATTTTCTAAGACTTACCAATTGAATTATATTTATCTCTTCCCATCTCAAAAAGTGTTCTTTACATGCATTCTGTCGCATTTTTATCTTTTAATTACTAGAAAAAATGAATTAAGACGCATTTCAATCCATTGAAAACAATTGTTATGCATTTGTAACGTATCATAATGCATTTTTTTATGCTAGTTAAAAGAAGATTAAATATACCATAGGAATAATTCTCATGTTGCGATGAGAAATTTGATGACGAACGATTAGGTAGATTAGTAATCATGTGCGGTGTTGTTGTTAAGGATGATGTAGATGTTTGATTTGTCGGTAGCTACTGTCGCTATTGATGTTCGATAATTGAAAGGGTTCTTCAGAGTCTTTTGCATAGTCGAGAAATTGTGCTCTTATTGTTGGTTTTTTCTTCGGACTTCGAACTGAATCATCAGTTTCGTTTTATTGACAATGGAACCGTTTGTGTTGTCAGTCACAAATTCGAACCGAATCTAGTATAAACGATCGTCACAGAGCCCAAACACACGACTACAAAATATTAGCTGTTGCCAGAGCTAGAACACAAGTACAATTAAATTGTGATGATGTTTGTATTGTTCAATTTTTGTTTGTAAATGTGACTTACTGTATCGCTCAGTTTTTTTGTAAAAAGATTTTCCCACATGGAAGTTTTGACATATAGTATAAAAATTAAATATTTCCAGCTTATGTCATATTAGAATTACTAAGATATAAATTATTTTACATCATAATATGGGCTGTCTTTGCTAATACTTCGTTAGTTCAAATATACTATGAAAAAACGAAACTATTTAACCCTTTACACTCATCGATCCCTTCCAAGGGACATTGATTTGATAAGCTTATAAAAGATCAGCCTAAAAGTCAATCTTTTTTCTAATGTAAGACAATAAATAACCTATCGTTTGATTGAAATAAAAAGACAAATTTTGTATTTCAGTGCAGTAGGCATTTCAGTTCAAGCTATAATAAAAGTGTCTGTGGGTGTAAAAGGATTAATCATGGTTGATTCTAAAACTTTCGTGTAGAAGTTCATCCTTTAAAAATGAAAAAATATATCAGCTCAACATATTTTTCCACCTGTCATATTATTCTGTTTCATAGCTCATGAGCTGTGATGATATCTGGACAATCACTTTATATAGGTAAAACAAAAGGAATCTTTCAAAACCGGAAATTCAGTTTTTTTATGTTAAAATAAAAAATCTTCGACTAACTGTTTATGCGAAGCTTATGGAGAGCTACGGATGATCCTAAATTATAGCTGACAATTCACATTATAAAACGACATACATAACTAGAAATCAAACATTTAGTCGAAGAAAAGAATAAATTTATGTATAGTAACCTTTTTGACATTTACTACAGTAAGTGAATCATAATCTTTGGCGCAGAAACGAGAAAAAAACTTAAAAAACTTTAAAAAAACATCAAAAAACTTATATTCAAATATATCAGAAATAAAATGTTGTATTTCTGTTTTTCTTTAGAATCATGTTAAATGATCTTTTTTCAGGTATATAACCTATTATTCAGAATCTACATTATCTCATATTAGAGACTTAACGAAAAGATCTATCTAGACATTTGATAAAAGTTATATAACACCTATAATATTGACATACATATACAGAGAGTAGAAAAATTCACCTTTATTTTTCACGTTTCTTAAGACATCATTTGCCTTCTTGATTCATTTTATTTTTATTTGTCTATACGTTAAAATTATGTTTGTTTACTGGAAAATGTCATCTGCTTCAGCAATTAATCTTTACGATCAATGTCAAACATTAAATATACCAAATCTTTTAGATCCGGATCATTACCACATAACCATTATGAGTAGTGATAATGTCGGAGATAATTTCGAGTGTAAACAACGTTTTGATCAAGCCGTTATTGCTACACCATTGGCTTATCTATGTCGAAAAAATGAAATAACGAATACAAATGTGCTTCTCCTACATTTACAGTGTCAACCGTGTGTGAACAGACATAACGATTTGAAAACTAATTGTCATATGATCCATCGATTCAATGACTATATACCGCACGTGACACTTTCTTACAACGTTAGCATGGATTTTGATCCGACAAAACTACCAGTACCAACTATGGAACTGGAATTGAATGAAGAGAAAGCTGAAACACAAAGCGCAGAAAAAATTAAGGAATGGCTAGAGGATAAACTGAACAAATGAAAACCTGATGTTGAACCTTCGAATTGAAAATTGTCTTTAGAGATAATAATAAAATCTAATTTATGCAGTACATCAAAACGCTCCAATGGCAGAAAGTATGAGAATGTTCACCTTTTGACCTATTTCTGTGAGATTTCCTCCCAAAAGAATTCTATAAGACTTCATAACTTTATTCTTGCAATAATATTTCACAAGATTTTGTAAAAAAATTATGATAAGATCTTGCATGAATATACAGAAAAATCAAAATATTCCACAATATAACATTATTTCATCAAATCTTATAGAATTATGTGTCTATTTCTTTCATAATATTGGGAAGGAGCATGAAGTTTTGAGACCGTGTTTGGCCATGGTTTTATAGAATTCGTCTTTTTTTTAGAGAATACATGCATGCTGTATATTGTATCAAAATTTTATATTGTAAAGATGACTCATCACTTTCTGCAAGATCTTGCGACAAGGAATCATATGATCTTGTAAGGTTTCGCGTTATATCATAATAAAAAATAAATACCCATTAATATTCTTATTAGCAATATTTTGCAAGATCTTCCAGGATCATATGCTGTATAATGTACCTGATCTTGTAAGATTTTATAATATTTCATAAGAGAACGACAAATATTGTGTGACCTTGGATGGTGAATTTCATTTAGTTGCATCTTCTTACAATTGGTTTCTAAGTTGTTGCATTTGTGTATTATACAGAAGACACAAAAATCAACTTCTTCAACTCATGTGAATAAATAAGTTATAGATAGACTTGTTACTCAGAGATCACGATTTATATAAAAATATATAATGATCACTTGATCTTCGAGTAGATTTTTATAAATCCTACAACATCTTCAGATGATATGTACACTAAAATGCAATTATTTTTTTCGAGTTTGACAATGCCAAATTATTCATCACCTTAAACCATTTCTTTTACTAACGGTTTGGACATAACCGATGCGAAGACAAAAATAAACGAAGCCGTCGTAAAAATGCGATCCCTCTAACTATTAACTTTCTATTTCACTACATATAGTCGAAAATCTTAAGTTTCCAGTTAAGATATAGTTCGACATATGAACAGATTGACATAAACTAGGCAATAGTTGTATACTAGAGTAGACAGGTCTTCTATAGGTTATGTGACGATCTCTAGGAAACACCTAAACGACGAGTCTCATTTCCAAACTTGGCAAATACTAGTTTTCAGATCCTATTAAAATATGTCCGTATGAAAAGAAGCTGTCTGGAACACAACAATATATCATCAGTGCAAAACAGTAATACAGACATACCTTTGAAAAACGCAGTGCAGCATCAGCAGAATCCTGCACATGTATATCACGTTCGTAACGTGATATGCATCAACCCGTGGAAAATCCAGCAATTTCCATGGTAGACGTTTGTGTCTCCAAAAAATGGCAAGAATATCTTAGCAGCGGTTCCACTAGGCGGCATGGCTTAGTGGTTATGTTGTCCGTCACGTACTTCAAACGTACTGTGTTCGAGCCTCGGCGCTGCCAGGTCATCTAATAACCTTGGACAAGTTACTTATGTCTTAGTGTCTCGGATCACCCGTCCGACAGCATATTCACTAGTTTGTGACGTACAATACAGCTCCTCTGGCTAGTCTGCGTAGCTTTCCGGGAACCTGGTACGTGATGAGTGAGTCTGTATGGTGACAAGTGATTGGGGGCACAAAACTCTAAATCAGGTTACCCTTCTGTCGAGAGCTGTGGTTGATGATTAGTAACGAAATGGATGACCGTATCAGAAGCTTGTCAACTTCAGGAAAAGGATCGGGCTAGTGAAACTGCCATTCAGTAGCACCCTAACGGTAGCCGTAATGAAAATTCTAATGAATTCCCGAGCATTATTCATCTTCTCTACATACTGGTGGGAAAAAATATGGCACGAATTGGGAAAAGTCCCAATCTCTAATCATTAACGGGCCAGCAGCAGGCCAATTGGAAAAAGCTCCTAGAAAAAAATATCAAGCAAAGGGTAATAAGCAGTTATTGCCCTGTGAAGAATTATATTTTGAATAATATTTTTTTATTTTCTTTTTATAATTTGTGTATGCACTACTCTAAAAATTTATTGTCTTCCCTAAAAAATCTTTCCCGGCCCGCCAATGCTCCTAATCGGTTTTGCTGTTAAAATAACCTCTGTTAGAAACTGTATTGACTATTATGCAATGGGATGGTAAGAAATCAGTAGAAATATCGAATATTTTCTGACGATCTTCTGTATGTCTTCACATCACAGGTACTAGCCCTGACGTATTCTCCACGATGGATCGCCCCTGTTCTGTAAGTCTTAGCTTTGTTGTGCAACAGATTGACAAATAGTACATATATAGAGGGCAGTACTGAATAGTCACCATCAGCTAGTATCTTCCATCTTCTTACAATTGGTTTCTAATTCGTTGCAACTTTTCTGGTTGTATGTACGAAATTTTCTTCTGAACATGTATGCTCTCCCAATATTAATTCTTGAATTGTTACTTGATTAACATCTTTTATTCGAGAGGTAAACGTCCATCGAATGTCTTTCTTCAGTCATCGAGTATTTATTTACTTTATTTTTCTTGATGGAGATACGTATACGAGTCTTTAAAGCAATAATCAACACAATTCTGGACGTTTTCGCTCTTGATCGCAATGTTTACACCTGAATTTATACTTAGTCTAGCGTAATCTTTCTGTTTTCTTTATTTTAAGAGTTCCGTATGTAATCTAGATGCCAGGACAACTTTTTTCTAAACCACATTACCTCACGTTTCATCTCAAAAATCAATTCCTGGAGAAATCTTTTAAACGTATACAACTAACTGATCGTTTCTTTGAAAACAACAAAAATCTAAATTTTTGTTTATAGAACTTGTTTAATTCTACTACTGGTATTTCACGATTACAAGCAGCTTTTTTTCTCCTTAGTTTATTTATTTCTGGTTTTTGTAGATGTTTTACTAGGAAAGTCTACATCAAAGCATTACTAGGACTAGTGATTAGAAAACAACAACAGTTTAAATTCATTATTATAAAATTGTTTTTTGTGACCATAAATAGTTATGGGTGTTCCTAAATTTTATCGATGGATATCTGAACGTTATCCAAACATAAGTCGTATTACTATTGACAGACATGTAAGAAAAACATTTTATGAAGAGATTTCTGAGTACTAAACATTAATGTCGTTTTGTTTAGATTCCCGAATTTGATAATTTTTATTTGGATATGAATGGTATCATTCATACTTGTTCACACACTGATGATGAAAATAATGACACAAATGCATCAGAAGAAGATATATTTCGAAATATATTTCATTATATTGATGTAATATTATAAATAAAACTCGTTTAGTGAATCAATTAGAATGAATAATCGTCTCTTTCTCTATTTCAGTTTCTATATCGAATGATCAAACCACGAAAAGTATTTTTCATGGCTATTGATGGTGTCGCACCAAGAGCTAAAATGAATCAACAACGGGCAAGACGTTTCCGGTATGTACAGGGCTTGAGCGAAATGCACAACAAGATCATTTGGCATTATTTTCCTGTATAGCGCTGGTCGCGATCGTATGCAGAAATTGAATACACTGGCTGAAAAATCGGGTGCCTCATTAAATGAACTAAATCGATTTGATACAAATGCAATTACACCTGGTATGAACATATCTAACTCATTAAAATATTCTGACATACACTTCTTTTTCAGGCACTGAATTTATGACAAATCTAAATGAACAATTGAAGTATTTTATTAATGTCAAAATCACGACCGATCCTTTATGGGAAGGTGTCGAAATTTATTTGTCTGGACATCTAGTAAGTTTTATTAGACATTACCAAAATGATCTTTTAAATTTCGATTATCTATTTTTATTTAGACTCCCGGTGAAGGTGAACATAAAATAATGGACTTTATTCGTTTTACACATTCACAACCGAATTACAATGTGAATACAAGACATTGTTTGTATGGTTTGGATGCAGATTTGGTTTGTTTATATCCAAGTATAATATTCTGTTGATTTAAACATGCTTTATCTTATATCTCTCTAGATTATACTTGGTTTGGTTACACATGAATTACATTTTGCCTTGTTACGTGAAGAAGTCACACATGGTGTACAAAAAACGACAAAAATGTATGTTTAACTATAACAAAAATAGCTATTTTTTTTGTCTATTTAAATATTTTTTTATTGTCTAGACCATTGCCGGAGGAAATCAATTGGCATTTATTACATTTGAATTTATTACGCGATTATATTAATCTTGAGTTTAGTTCAATGAAAGTAGGCAAATGATCTTACCTCACTGGTATAATTAATAAAAGTCATTTTTAACGTTTCTA